TTTATATGTAACAAAAAGCAGAAAAATGTTGTTACACAAAAAAAAAAAAACACTCTTTCTTTTACTGACTTTTCAAAAGTTTGAAATCTAGTTTTAGTAATGCGTGCAGCAGAAATACCTCCAACATGATAGTAAGACATTAATACCAATGGTGTCTTCACCTAGCTGATGTGTTACCATTATGCGGGAAGTATTTCTGCAGTGCACCCTGTATTATTTTCGTTGCTATCCAACCTTTTTTTTCTCATCTGTATTAAGATATTTTACAAAGATTATTCATTTTCAATTATGACAAGAGTCTGATCAGATGTAGTAATTATATCAATAGATGACTAGGTCAAAATTTAAAGTGAATAACATTTTCTTTTCTTAACATCTTGGTCAGCAAGATACAAGGAATCATTGAATATGAATTGAGATTTGCTCACATCACATTACTACTAACCTTCCTTCCCAAACCATGGAATGAATGTGTAATATCTTTCATGTGTCCACTTTTGTTCCAAAGACGATATGGAAGAGTGCTGTTTTCCAGGCAAGCAGCTAAAATGGCACTGGTGTGATAATCAAGATTAGGCTGGAATATTAAAGCAAGAAAAGAAAAAAATTGTAAGTAAAAAATCAGTCACATAGGTTTACTACTTAAGATTACCAGCTTAAAAAAAAAGCTTAAGAAATGTCATTGGTTTGGTGTTTATACGGATTAAATATGCTTACCTTGTAGATAGCATTTGGGAATTTTCTGTAAGAGATATGAGCACTGGGCCTTGATAGCCAAGCAGAAGAGCTGAGGCTAAGTGGAATGAATAAAGAACTGAATGATGGTAATTTCTGATAACACAAAGCAGTGTTCAGGATATGATGGCTATTATGGTCAGGCTGAAAATTAAACAAAGATATATAAACAATTTAGTCTATACAAGCAGAGTCAGTTAATAACGGTTAGATATGAGAATAGCATAACTGTTATTTAGTCAGTTTAGTCTATACAAACAAAGACATTATACAAGAGGGGTGCTGGAAAGTTCTTAGTTTAAACCAGTTAGTGTTTTGGGGGAGGTGGTAATAGGACCAAAATTTACTTCTTTGATTTTATTCAACAAATAACATGTTAATGCAGATAACATGGCAGTCTATGTTGCCTATTTTATAGTTGAAATGGCTAGAGGCAACTGTAAGTTCTATGCTAACAGTTTCTTCTCTTGCATTTCTAGCATATGAAACTCTCTTCCAATTTCTTTCTTTTGCAGTCAACTGATCTTCAAAAATTTAAATCCAATATCAGTTGTTATTTTTCATTGTTTTAATTCCTGTTCATTTATTCTCTCTCATTAATAAAGTTTTTCTTTTTCTCATTCTTTCTCACTCAGTATACACCTTAATGGCTTCATTGCCTTGCTTGGGATAAAATAATACCAAAAAAGTTGATTGACTTCACATGAGACAGCCACAATCAAAGTCTTGATATTCGTGAAGCTAGTAATTCTGCACAGAAAAGCCAGAATTCTCCTTACAATATGAGAGATGATAAACAAAATTAAAAAAAAATTCTCAAATAAATCTTTATCTGCAAAAGAATAAGGTAAGTACAGGAAATCATCACTAAAATGATAAATCCAGAAAATGGCGCTTGGGAACGTGCTCAGATTGATGAGCCTGGTTGTAAGGACAAATGCGGACCCATCATGCAAAGAATCAATATCTGACTGACATGAACAACAGACTAAATTTCATTATTTATATTTGGACTCATTTAGAAATCTTTGTTGCTATTATCACAACATTTTGGCAGTTGTGTCCTCTAGTTCTTTGTTTAGTATATTCAGTTCTTTGTTGAACTGGGTATCCTTCATGGAATTTCAAACACTGAACACTTTATTTAATCTACAGGGATAGTTTGTCATTATTTATATTTGATACTTTTGATGAAGACAATAATCCAAATACCAGTCAGTTATTGCTTGCCCTGTTTCTGCTGAGTCTGTCTATGCTACCCAGCCCAGGGATTGAATTCACAATTACTAAATTGACGAACAAATTCATTAATCCATCAAACTAATGTCCCACATGGCAGAACAATGGAATAATCCTCTCAAAATTTGACCTGTAATCCAAATATTATTGTGTCAGGCTCTAGGACAAGCCCTGGATAAACATTAGCCAACAGGAAATTTAATTAGAAAAATTAAAGAGATTTTTTTTGAGCCATATTTCACATGCTTCTTATATATAAATGATAAAAAGTTATTTTTAAATTGGTTTTAATATATTTTTAATGTTTGACAGAAATGAAATATCATTACATTCATAAGTAATGTGATTTGTCCTTTCAAAAACCAAAATTAAAATTGGTTAAACAATTAATTTGAAATTTCTCAAAAGAACATTTTATTTCCTATCAAAAATTTGCTGGTGACGACTCAAAAATAAAGATGAAACTTTTCCAGGAAAATCATTTCTCAGAAGGATTCTAAAACAGAAGTGGCTACACCACTAAAAGCATCATGGGTATCGACCAGCATCTGGAATCCCTGAATAAAAAGAAAAATTATTCTCTTAAAAGTTCTTTATTTCTTTTGGTCAAAAATAAACAATAACATTATTTTATTAAACTTCTACCCTAAGACTTCGTAGATATTAAAAAGTATCAGTAATTCAAGCATTAAGTCACAGAATCTAATTTTACAAATCATCCAAAATTTCCTGATTTAACTGAATATATTATAAACAATAGTTTAAAGAATTAAGTGAAAAAATATGAAATTAGTTATTGAATATTAGATCTCAAATATATAATCATGCTTGCTTATATCTTCAGATATATATATTATTATATACTTCTCTATAGCTATATAGGAAATAATTTGTTTAAACTATTCTTAATTCACACCCCTTTTCATAGATAAAGGGATTGTGTGTGTGTGTAAATAATTGTAATAAAGAAAAAATTTTTTACAGGCAAGTATTAACCTTTCATAGCTAAAGCATCTTCAGGTCAAAATGAAAAATTACATCTCAAAAGTAAGAAATAAGTCAGGTAATTTTTTGGAAAAGTATTTTATTGTCTGATCCATTAACCAGAAAAAAAGCAGATTTTTTTTGGTATGGAAGCTGTTGAAGTCCACTGGATATGAAATTAGTAAACTAAAACTGAACCATTTTCTTTTTCTCTCTACATCCATATAACAATCAATTTATAACAAATGAAGAATAACCAAATGGTCATCTCCATATGTCATTGTTATTCATTTTGTGGCCTAAATAGATAGTAGAGATGATTCCTTTCTGATCACCTTTATAAAGATGTCATTATTTTTAAATGATCATACTTGCATTATTCAGTTGATGGCTTCAAACTGCATGGTGATTACCAATGGAATTGAGGTGATTTTCCACATTTTGTCATTTCCATTTCATTTTTCTGGACTTTTGGTTTTGGGTGGATGGAACAAGGCCAATAAAATCTTAACTCTCAGGCTTGTTTTGAATGATTTGGGATCAAGAACACAAAAAGTGTTTTTTGATTTGGTTAAAATTTCAAATGGCAACCTCATGTCTTTTCCTGAAAAACTCACTGAATAAGACTTGATGTCCAACTATTCTCTTTCAAATATCTTAAACCATATCCTGACCATTAAAGATGGTGTTTCATGATCAAAACTTCAATTTTTGACTATTGGCTCTTTGTAGGCATTTGTTGTTTGTCACGAACAATTCCCATTTGATGTTCAAGATTGAATGATGTATTTGTATCATGTACTTGGTATATCAAATGCCCATGGACCATGAAATAGGCAAAATTGTGTGAGTCATTTTTACATGATAATGAAATGTGCATCCTTGGGAATAGCGTCATTTGGGGATGTTAACACTGAGGTCCTTTCTTAAACAATTTGAACTGACAAGAAAAGAGCCAAACCTTGTGGTTAATGTCTGGAGGAAAAGTCAAACAGCTGCGCCCCTTAAGACCTCCTTTTATATATTGGGAGATGCCATGAGTGAAACCTGTGAACACAGATAAGTGGGATCCTGGCAATTTTAATTTCCAAATAAAACCCTCAACATCCATCAAAAGAAATATGAAAAGAAATACTAAAATTAAAATTGAAAGCAAAGATTCATTGAACAGACCAGTGACAGAACATATTTAATACTACTATAAATAAGACCTCACCCCCACATGTTAAAGTCACAGTCATTAATTTAGTTTGAATAAGGAACAAACAACTAATTAAATGCATACCCGAATCTAATACTTATACCAAATAAAAAACAATGCCTATAAGATGAAAGAAAAACTTTCAAAAAATCATAATCCAAATGAAATTATTTTTATTTACCCAAAACACCAATGATAAGCAACAAAATGCCCATAACAATTAACTTGCAGACCTGAAAATGTCAAGAAAAGAAGACCTGATTTTAAAAATTTAACCTTTTCAAGTTTAGTAATTTATCACATTCTTCAGTAAATATATGAATAATCTTCAGCTTCTGTCCAACATCCATTCAACAATCTCTTTCACCAAACCATGAATTTCAAAAGGCTTGTTCCTTGTATTGGATAAGAAAATTTGGTTAAAAACAAGTCTCATTTATACTAAGACAAATAAAGAACAAAATTTTTAAAATGAAAAAAAAATTTGTTAAAAAATGTTTTGAAAAATTACAAATTTTTCAGTGATTTTCATTAAAATACCAACAATATGCAAAATTAAATGTCTTGTAAAAAAAATGAAAAAAAAAGGAATTCTAAAATTGAAACGGAAGTTATGTAATTATAAAGGATTTATTTTCCTTGTAAAAATGTGATCCTATGAAAAAACTTTAATATTTCTCAAAAAAAGGTTTATAAATTTCTGTAGACATTTCTATACAAAATTCAAAATGTCTGATTAATTAAAACATTTCAATTTCATGCCAGAGAATGAATTTTTTTAGTTGCTTCAACCAAACAGACCCCAGGATGAAGATGGATGTTGAGGAAGTCTGACCAACCAGGTGCAGTCAAATTCAACAGAAGATAATTTATGAATTATTTTTATATTTAGAAAAACTTTAAAAAATTAAAAAAAAAAAAATGTCTAAAATTAAGTTTTGTTATTTGATATTTCAAGCTGGAAATACTAATTCCTTTATATTTTTATTAGGTTTACTACTATTTCCAAGCCTCAAAGGAAAATAGTTTTTTCTTAATAAATTTTTTTTTTCTGCTGATCACCATTTCCAAAACCATGAAGAGGTGTCCTTTGATCAATTTTGAACCATTAAAGAAGAATATCTTTCAATAGCTAAAAAGCATGGAATAAACATTGACATCTATGTTTTTGAATTAATATTTTCTGCTTAAATTTTCATTTATTCAGTTAGAACATTTTGATATGTGGTCAAAATAAGTCTAACTCAAAATTATATTCATAAACATTCAAGGCAGAATAGTGAATCTCATTTTCCTGAAAGATATTTTGAGGTTTAACCCCATTCCAAACATTCAATGACACAATATTACAAAATTTTCAGTTATCAGTGAATTCAAATTTTTTTATTCTCCACAACAATGGCATCTGGAATCACTGTCCAGATAGAATCAATCTTTTTTCTTGGCTTTTAATTTTTTTTTCAAAAAAGATATTAGCACTACATTTAGGGCTGGCTGGCTCAGAATGATCCATTTAAGAATTTGTTTCATAGCCTTTTTCATTTTCTAATGACTGCAAGATAGCATATTGACAAAACAGGGTTTTCCTGTCCCTAGAATAGGACATTATTCCTAATGTCAAATATCCATCTGCATGCCACACAAATTATGAAATAAACAGTTTTCCACCTTCACCTTCTTTTTGTCTTTTGTTTTTGAGATGCATCCCACAAGTATTTTGATAGACAGTTCCATTTCTTCACTATCAACCCCAGCTATAACAACTTTTCTGCAAAAAACAAACACCAAATTAAAAATACATATGTTTACTGACATTTAATAGTAGTCAATATTCAAAATATTTTCAAAATTCATTTTATCATCGTGACAAATTTTCCACATTTATAACAAAAGGTTAATGTTTTTTTTAAAATGGCTTACCTCCTTTAAAATTACATTCATTAGATCTCCCTCTACATGCAAAATATTTAAAAAAAAAAATATAGCCAATTATTTTGTATTTAAAAAAAAAAATCTCAGAGCTTTAAAAATTTTGTGAAACAAATTTGCACATGGCTTTCCATGTCTTTGATATTTTAAAATGGATACTAAATTGCTTAAGAAAGGGTGAATAATAGACACAGACAAGTCAAGTGGTCATCAAGGGATTTAAATCAGGGAGTTTTCAGCCTCTCAAAAATTGAAACAAAAATAAAATAACCGATTCTTCATAAATCTCCAAATGAAACCTTTTTTTAAACAAATAATGCCTTAAAAATAAATGCTTATTTCAGGAGACTTCTTTATTATTTTCCTATTTTCAAATTTCATGATTGATTTTTCATTATTAAAATTTAAAGCATGCCCTGAAGTAAAAAAGGTTGAGAAACACTGCTTCAAAGTATGATAGTTGCAAGTTGAATATTTTCAGTTCCTACCAGATTTGATGTTTAGCACTTCCTTGCAGACATTTTCAGATATTCTAAAGTTGAAGTAGCAACAAAATTTACATATCTAATCTTGAAAAGAAAATCTGATACTCATGTGACAAAGAGAGGGCAAGAGGGACAAAGGAAAATAATGCATAACATTCTTAGTGAACTTGGAGGAACAAAAAAACCGAAAAGACAAATCTTAATACAAGGACAGGAAGTTGAAAGTCGCCACCTATGAACTGGACATAAAGAATCAAAGACAAAAAGTTTTTTTTAAAGTTGATTATGTCCTCTGTACTTATTTTTTTAATTGTTACTGTATAAAATCAAATGTATACATGCATGATGGCGTGATGATTTTAGTTGCAAGTTATTTTTGCCTTTTTAATGCTATTGAGTGGAAAATGCTATAAACTTTCAAGATTTATTCATACAAGACTTTTTTTTGCTTCTTCAAAATCCAATTTCAGTCAGGCCATAACATGCAAAAAGAGAGAGAGAATTTTCTATTTAGTAAAAAAAAAAAAAAAAAAAAAAAAAAAAAAAGATAAAGCATTTAAAGAAAAGTAAACAGAAAAATACTCAACAATGTCTACTCACTTCTTGTTTCTCAAGATCTTTAAGGAATTCATTCTTTTCAATCCTTGGCTTCTTTGTAACTGTTACATCTCCATCCCTACAAAATTGAAGCAAAAGAAATTAAATTATAAATTAAAATAGTCATGAGCGCCATTTAATCTTTTGATACAAAAGGAAAAAACTTGGAAATTTTACAGGTTCTCTCATTTGGATAAGTATCCTCATTTTGATTGTTATAATCACAATGGCTTGGCCTTTGTACTCTCCAGATTCATTCAAGTGTCAGCATATAGAGTAACCTTTTTTTTTTATACAATAATGTTCACACTGCACAAGGTCCAAGAGCCACTCAAGGTAAAGGATTACAGAGTAAGAGACAGTTTATGAGAACATGTGGAGAAGATAATATTTAATCCTAGATTTTAACAGGGTAAGATTGTAGTAATTAGGGAAGCATCCTTTTGAGAGTCAGTTCCACAAAGCAATGTTTTGCTTGAGTGGAGCTTACATCTCACCAATGGAATACAAAGAGAATGAGGGTGGTTTGCTAGAACATGTGTGGCATGGTGGGTCTTAACTGTAAAGATTAGAACTGGTAGAACTAAGGAATGTAATTTGTCTGAACACTTTTCATGAAAATATCAATAGGGCAGCAAGAGGCTTGCAACATTTCATTTGTGGGAAAGGGGTTGTAGAGTAGAAAATAATTCATCACCCACAAGGACGTGGAAATGCTTTTGAACTATCAAGAATGGAAAGTGAAAGTTGGGAAGTTACTGCCCAAATATGACAGCAGTACTCCATTTTCGTCCTCATCTGGCTCTTGTAATGGTAGAAGATAGCAGGTAGAGCCAGGTACTTAACAGAGGAAGACAAGGAACCAACATTCTTGAAATTATGAATTAAACTCCTTATTTAATCCATTTAATGGGTAGATTGTTCTCATTCTGCCTTTCATGCTCTGGGGATGTTTTGTATCTGTTAATATTTGCCAGTTTTTCAGCACTACCACATCTGCAAGAGAACTAGATATACTTTAATCAATGCTTTAATCAAATGGGAACTGGTGGATACAATGGCTGAAATATTATCAATATAACAATCAAGACAAAAATTTTGATAAAAAAAGACTGTGGCAAAAGGACATACATTAGCTATTTATGCAGAAAATAACATTGGTAAACAATGTTTAAATCTCAGTCAAGAGTATATTGCTTTTGTATTGACACCCACAAGAAAGGCATGAAATCAGCTATTCCATCATCATTCATTTTGATCAAAGTTATGTAACTGGCATACCAAAATTGTAGATAGTCAAAGTGAAGAGTTTTAAGTTACTTATTAAATACAAATATTCAAAAATTATTCATCATGATTATCTATAAGGTCAGTCTGGAAAGTATTCAAACATTTTGAATATCAGTAACTTGACACAGAGGAACCCTTATTACACATGCATTAATACACTCCAATTGGGTTGATCATTCAGCAGTGAGAAGATGACCTTGTGAACTATGTGATCATTACATTCACAGCAAATAGACATCAACTTTTATATGACATTCATTTTATTTGGACATTTATCTACAGAAATTATTTAAATAATTAAGGCTTTCAAGGATGATTCAATGGATGAAACCCAAGAAAAATTTTGGTATCAATACTTCAAACTTGGCTAGGAATCTGTGAAAACAATACACATTCTGAAAAGCAGTTTAACAAGCAAAAAAAAAAAAAAAAAAAAATCAGCAACTGACATTGTAAGAATTAAGAGATTTGGGAATTCTATTGACTGCTCAGAAATTATGTAGCCATTTTAAATATAATGATTATTCATGTCTCCTGACAGATTATTTTGGCAAATAATTTCATCACCCAAGACTGTCAGTTCTGCTTGAGTCCAGATTTGGCTCTCTCAGACTTCTGGCCTCTTCCAAGGTTTTTTTTTTTTAAAAAAATCATGTTAAAACAGGAAAGATTTCAGATATAACTGAGATTAAGAATATAATTAGTCAGCCAATGTCAATTCTGAAAGAGGATTTTGTAGACTGCTTTAAAAAGTAGAACAGATGCAGAAATAAATGTGTAAAATCCAAAAGAAAGTACTTTTAAGGAAGATTAAGGTGCCACTGCCAAGGTAGGCTACATTTTTGTTAATATCAAATAGCTGGATCATTTCTGGACAAAATATATATATTACAAAGTTTTAGTTGAGTTGCTGACATTCCTCCTTTAATAAATATAATTCATTCATTCATTTTTTACAGCTTATCAACATTTTGCATGTTATTTAAAGCCAAAAAATATTTTTATATTGTAAGAAATGTTTTTTTGAGATAATGATTTAGTGATACAAGTCTTACTAATTAACCCATAACTGGAGGAGAAGAGGCAGATCCATACCTTTCCCAAGGGTATTTCTGCATAAGTGAATATAACAAACCAACTGAAATTGGAACTCGGCTCTGATTAACCATTCCAAGCCATTATCCATTACATCACTTGAACTTCCAAGCTGACAGCACTTAGTATTTCCAAGTGGTTACCCATCTAGGTACTGGCCACATTTGACATTGCTTAACCGGTGATCACACAGGAACTGGTGTTTCAATGCTATATGGCTGTAAGCCTATAATAAATATGAGGATGATAACTGAATAGTAAACAAAATAATGACACTGGTTCTCAGAATTTTCAGTCATTGCTGTCTTTAATGCAATAAAATACAGCTTAGTTTTAAAACATACTAAAGTGCAAACATAAAAAAAACCTACCTCAGGTGAAATTACTTTGTAAAACAATGGCAAAAATAATGAAAGGAACTAAATGTTGTCTAACTGTAGAAAAGTTTAAGAATTTTAGACATAGCTGAAAGTTTAGAAACTTAATGCAGCTTACCATCCACTTGTTCTGTCAGAACGGAAATCATATAAAGTTCCTTCTTTTCTTAGCGAGTGAAGACTTCCTTTTAAATCCCAAACTATCAGTCGAGGAGTGAATGTCACTTGCTTCTTTGAGGAAGAAAAAATATATTAATAAAGTTAATAGTAAATAAACATAACAGATTTGACAAAGATAAAATATGGTGATTTTCTGTGTGTAGCTTAGATGTGACACAAGGCCAACAGTATGGAGCACCCAGTGAGGATCAAACTCACTAGTCAGTTGTAATTGATCTAATGAGAAACGCTTGCTAACCATTACACCACATTGAAGTGTCCAAAAAGGAGATAAAATATAAAGATACAAATATGAATTTGATACAGTCGGATTATAATGTCTTCCTTTTAGTTGTTTTGTTCTTTGTCCTTCAGGTGTGTGTGTGTGATATTTGGTAATCTGAGAATTTAAAATCAAATTTTTTATTAAATCTATAAGAGGTAGATTTGTTGGAGGGAGGCTCTCACATCAAAGTAGCAGAAATTAGGCTTGTGTTCATGGAGATAGAAGCAAATTTAACAGGAAATACAATGTAGGAATGTACATGAAAGCATAGTATATTGTATGTTAATTTCATACAATTTATATTTTTCTAGTTTGTGCATATGCTTTACATTACAATTGTTTCATGGTACATATAATGAGAGGAAGAAGTTACTTTGTATTATTACAAGTCATATCACCAAGAGAGAAGTTACACACATATTGCCTGCCTGAGGTTTCTTGGTGAAGAGGTTGAATTTAACATTTTTTGGTGGGATGTCCGTATTTCTGGCAGGAACAGTTTTTGTTTCAAGGTGGGAGAGTTTTTATTATTTTTATTTAATTTATTTTAAACACAGTTTATATATTATTGTTTTATTTTATTTATAATTTTCATTATTATTATTATTATTATTATTATATTTATTTATAATAATAATGTCCCAACATATTAAAACAAGATATTCATCAGCATGAACAACAGAATGAAAAGGCTTTAATCTCATGATTAAATAATTGCATTTTTAAAGTTTACAAAAGATCATCTAAATGATAATCTCCTGAAGATCACTGAAAACTATTATGATTGAAAAGTAATTTTAACAACCAAATGCAAACATCTGTTATATATATATATATATATATATATATATATATATATATATATATATATATATATATATCTCAAAATTCAGATCTCAACATTTTAAACTAAATTGAAGCCTTTCTGCAGATCATGAAGTATGAAACATTTTGTTAAAATAATTCTTAGATTGTATACTCACAATAAGAAAACCATGACTGATTATGTTATGACAAATGAAAGCTTTTTTAATTGTTTATTTTCACTTCATTATAGTCATTGTAAAGTAACATTAAAAGAGGATTGATTAATGTATACATTGAGTAGAATTGAATTATTGATTAAAACTCAACTGGTTAAATTATTTAGGGATTTCTTTAAATTATTTCACTTATTAAATCAAATGTATTATTTTGATTTCTTGTCAAAATTATTTGACAACAAATCAAAATACTAAAAAATGAAATAAAAAATGAATAAACAATTTTCATTGGCAGAATTTGAAAGGGATAGTTAAGGGAGCTAACCCTTTACCATTCAAAGATCAAACATGAACTCAAAAACCTTAGTAATCCAGTACTCTAATTGGCTAGCTGATGTCCAATCAGGAAACATTTCTTGGGGCCACATTGATAAATTGATACCGAAATCTTGCTCTTTTGCAACTAATAGCTGTAGTTTATTGGAGCCGTCCTTTCTGCCATTAATGGAGTACATTAGCCAAAGGTCACACAAATCCACTTGTTTGTTGGACACTCTTCTAACACTTAAGTGTGTCCGTCTTTGTTGAATTTGTTTGCACCAGAGGAAAATCTTTGTATACATGATATGGAGAAAATAAAGTATTGTCTATGTAGACAGATTATACAAATTAAGTAATCTTCTCATGTAAATAAATTTGTTTGTGAAATGGTTCTTATGTTTTGTTTAAGAGATCAGAGTTTCCTTTCTGTAGGCAAGGTACAGTCTTTTTTTTTCTTTTTTTCCCCCTCAACCTTACCAAATTATTACACTTCTTACCAGTTTTCTAAATTTACATACTATCATAATAAGTGTTTTGGGGTCTTTTATTTTTTCTATTAAGGAACCCAATTATAAATGAAAACAAAATAATGGTAATTCTTCCCTCAAAGTGCAAAAGGAAAAATACATAAATTAAAATATATTTTGAATGAAAGACATGTCATAAATGATAATAAACAGAGCTACTATTGTCATGACAGTTTATGAAAGGAATTTCACTCAAATTCTTTATATTCCAGATGAGATATGATTATTAGAGCTTTTCAGCTTTGAACCAGGTTTTCTCATTTTTTGGAAAGGATAGAAGTTTTAGAAGCATATTCCTTACTCAAGGGTTTTGGGAGTACAACAATTCCATAACTGATAGTTGGAACTTTCTTTTTCCATTAATGTCAGAAAAAAAAAAAAAAAAAAACGTTGCTATAAAAGTCACAAAATATATCCAATCAGGTTTGCAAGAAAACAAAATATATTTATACTTATTAAATGCCCAAAAAACAAACTTTTTATACTTCCTCTGCATGTTCCAATAATGCTCAAGATGAAACAATAATCATAGTTATCTTGCAAGATAACTATGATGAGCTTGTTCCTCACTGTGTGCTCCATGGTTCAGTTAACAGAAGATTTGTTTCAAAGTTTACATTCTTTAGATTTGAAATGGAAAAAAAAATCATTCCATCATGAAGAATGTGTGAGAGTATGCAATTTGCCAAACTTCTTTTATGAATAAATAATTTCTCTGAGAAAAATGTTGAACTTTTATTACGCATGTTTCTTATGCCATAATGATGTTATCTAGTGTGTGTGTGTGTGAAATCTTAAAAACTTAAGGATACAAATATATTTATTTTTCTGTTTCTCTTATCATTTGAAAACTTTGAGCAGTTTTCCATAATACAACAATATATTTCATTATGATATGGAATGTGGCACTTGGGAAAAGAAACAATGTTGGAAGTAATTTTAAAAATTCAGATTATTAAAAAAAAAAAAAAAAAAAAAAAAAAAATCACAATATTGTAACATTTTTACATTATGTTTCACCATTAATATTTTTTAATTAAAATAAAATAAGTTGTTAAAATTATAAATTCACAACAATGTTTCCAATGAAAACATCCATTTAAATATTTCATCATAACTAAAAGATAAAAAATGTTTTCTATAAAAGTATGACAAGACAGAAATGGTACTAGTAAATTAATATGCATTTGCTATTTATGAAGTAGAAAATTTAATATACTGACACTACAACCCAGTGTAATACATTTTAGATATATTAAAATACACATACCCAAAACATCTATGAATGTCCTGGATCTTCTTTGTAAGCACAATGAAGACATACTAGCAGAAGAGATCTCTGATGTCTTTCCAAATTAAACTTGCCAATTCTTGGCCAATAGTAAAAGCCAAACATATTTAATGTCATGTTTGACAATCAGGTAAAAGTGTCAAACATGGTACATCAACAAGAAAGAATGGAACGTAATAAATGATTACAAGGTTGCAGAATTTCCCAAAATCCATACATACATTTAAATTCTTGCCTTCTCGAAACAAAACATCTGGATTGACTTCTTTGGACTCTGCAAGTTTAGGGTCATAAATAAATGATGATTCCTGAAAAACAAAAATGCAAAATACATTAGAAGCAACCAAATATTTACTGACAATTTCATTGTTAAAATGCATTTACATTGTGCATATAATAACTATTTTGTTGATAATGTTTGCATTCTTTCCCAATCATTGACAATCCCATTCTAATTTAAAATACGGCAACCAAATAATACAATAACCCTAATCTGTTAGAAGTGCTTCTATTATTAATTTTCAGCACACAACAGAGTTAAGTGCTGAAATCTATACAAATTTTAGGTAAAAAATTAATCATCATCTTGCGGCCTCAGCCGAGATTGAACTCACTACAGCTTTCCAGTATTCCTTATCTGTCATAGCACCTAAAAGATCTTCCTTAGGGATCAATGTGTCTCGTTTTATCCTATCTGGAAAGGTTAACTTGCGTGATCGATTGACAGATGATGGGTGCCTCCAGAGTACAAATGATGACAAGTTCATCTGTGGCACATGCACAATGCCCGGCGAACTGGACATGTCTCTTGCAAACTAAGGTTGATACTCTCGGCAAGTCTCCATATATCATTTCTAGAGTTGGGTGGTTTAAGCCATGAGAGATTAAGCACTCTTCTTAAAAGACGTGTATAACATCCATCTAAACGGGCGCTGTTGTTTTTGCTGAGAGAGTCCAAGTTTCAGAGCCATAGAGTAAGATTGGCTCAATAAGTCTGTGGGAAAAGTTGGATTTTGAATTGACGAGCAAGATTGGATTTCCAGATAATTAATTAATTTCTTGATTAAAATCATCCAATTTCCCTTCTCGGTTACTCTGGTGATTTTCACCTATTCAATAATAACCTGATCCAAGACAAACATCCACTAAGAGGTGATTACAAATGTTTTGAGAAGTTTGGTGAAAAATGTATCTTTTTTTTTTTTTTTTTTTAAATTCTCTAGAAATACCTTTGACATTAATATTTTATATAAATTTCCAAGCAGTGCATAGATAAGGATTAAATGATCACTTTTCTGAATTATTCACTATATCCATTCATAGGTTACATTTACTATATTCATTTTAGCTCACAATTCCTGATTTTCCTATATTTTTTCTATTTATTTTGGCTTAGATATAAAGACATGAAGGTAAAAGGCCTGGTAAGAAGTCAGATTAAATTCAACAAAGGCCAAAACTTATCTCTGACAAATATGTCATGTAAAAACTGGAATTATTAACAAAGTCAAAATATGAATATTGATAGCAGTAGAAATCTTAAATCTTGTGAGGTTACCAATAAAATAATATTGCTTGTGACAGAAATAAAAAAAATGAATGCTGAAAAAAAAAAAAAAAAAAAAATGATACTCTCCACTCTTTTTCTATTTTGGATATCATTTTAAGTTATATTACATGCTTTCAACACTAACCAATTTGCTGTTTGAGTTTTAATAATATAAAACCTTTGAAACAAATTTTCCAACTGTCTGCCCATCTTGAACAAATAAAAATATTCTAATAAAACAACACATAAAAACTCATCATCATAGAATTGATTTTTCATTAAAATCAAATGTTATTTGTAATGCTATAATTATAACGATTTGCTATTTGGACCCACATGCTCATCTTGGTGATTATATTCCTGCTTTAGCCAATGTACTCTCCAGTCTTCTTCAGGTGTCTGTCTTCATATTTGTTATGAAAGGAAGCTTTTATCCAGTTGATGGAAGCAGACTGTTCTCATTCTGTTTTCCACACTTCAGAGATATTTCACACCATTTCAACTAGATACTTATTCCATGCCAAAAGTACATTGAATGGAATACACACAATTCTTGATCATGTTTTAATTTTTGTGGAAGTGGCGGGTGGGGGGGGGTTCAGGAATGAGACCTCTGAAGGGTTAAACTGCTTTTGAATATCCTTCTGACTTTGAATGGCCACAGATCCTTTGAATCTTTTCCAATGTACACGTTAGACAAACCAAGGCGGTTTTCTTTCTTTCTTATTGTTCTTGACTCTTCTGTCACTTCTTATGGAACTTGATGCTATGCTTGTAAGGTAGTCACTTTCATGAACAGGCTTCTAATACTAATCATTTGTTAGTAAGTGTCTGAGTTGTCACTTATAAGTAGAGCCTGATGTTGGAGTCAGCAAACACTCCCTTTTGTGATATTGTGGGTATCCTTGTCTTCCCTGATAAGACAGGATGTGACACAACATTGGGTTTAATATGGGGAACCCAAGTGCGAACACCCAGGCCAAGGACAAATATTACCCAGCCCTTGCAACCATTGATTACACTGGCATCATAAGACTACTGATACACCCTCTTTAGTGCAATGGCGGGTGCAGCTGTTCTCCGGGACCAGGCATCTTGCAGTATTTATTTTCCTCAAATGCTTTTGTGATACTGTATGGATTTGTGGTTTAGGTATTGTCCTGTGATTGTTGGTTTACCATATATGGAAGTCTTCAACCCATACTTTGTATAAAATTATTAAAAACATCCAAGAGGACCAGTTGATTTTTTCCCCATTGTTAACTATAGAAGCTCTTATGGAGTTCACAAGATCTAGCAGTATTTGCACATCAACCTGGTGAGGGCCAGTATATGAAAGTGTTATTTATATATCTAAGTCACAGGGACAAATGACACAAAGAATAATAAATTGGTTAGTATTAATTGATATGAAATATCCCCAAAGCATGAATTGAATGAATGGCTCAGTTCAAAATTCTAAGTAGGTTACAGAGCACAACGAGAAACACCTGAAGAAGGCCAGAGATGGCTGAATTGTTAGCAGTATAGCAACCAAGATGAGAATATTGTTGTGAATAGCAAAGCATATAATAATAATAATAATAATAATAATAATAATCCCTTATCTTAAAAAGTCCAACAAAAATATGATTTTATATATAGTTTGAAAAACTTCTTTATAATATGGGATTCTGCTAAGGTAACACAAAACATTACTTGATGTCAATAAACTCTCCAGTAAAAGAGTATCATTTAGCAAACCTTATCTCAAAGATGTGCTTCTTTTTCTTTCCAATTATGTTTACCTATAACTAACTTAGTAATATCATGCAAGATTATTTAAGAGGTATCAAATTGGATATTCTGAACCGTTGAATGCCAACTATTGTATTGATAAAATGTCAGAGTAAATAATTCTTAAATCTTTTCTTCAGAAAGTTTTTTTTTCTGATATACCGTATTTTCACAGGTATAAACATCATGTTGTAAATAACTAAAAGTAAATAGAAAGAAACCACAAGTGTCACATGTGTGTGTGCTAGTTTACTTCTATTTTTTTTAGAAGTAATTTTAAGAAATCAAACTTTACTAAATTACTGCTAGAGATGGAGCTTCAGGTTTTAATCCTCTCCTATAATACTTGGGTTATTACTGCAAATGCTAAATCCTATTCATGAATTTTACTAAACTTATTTCAATAAAAGGGTGTGTTGATCATTAAATAATCAACACGTTTTAAGTTATTATTAAGGTCACACCAGTTTAAATCAGCTGCATTTTCAGGTCTGAGTTAGAAAAAAAAAATCCATTATAGATTTTAACTGACTTTGGGATCAAATGAAATAAATCAACAGAGGTCATGGGGTCATCATTAATTAAGTGCTAAGAAGAATCTAATTCAGATGTTACTTTTTACTGTTTGAATCCTTTTTTTAATACAGGATAACAATTTGGGAAATTCTTAGCTTTATGAGGATTTATGTATGTATTCTGATACATTATATAAACATCAGACTTTGTTTATTTTTATTTTGAAGGGCTTCTTGTCTAGGCTGAGAACTTTTCAGTGCACACACACTCATATATATATAAGGCACATGGAACTCAACACAAAGGTGACAGTCTGTTTCATGCTAAAGGCCATATTGATTGCATTTAGCATGAAACAGTGTCGCCTGTGAGTGTGGAGTTCAATATACACTTTTATATTTATATATGCTATATACCTGATATTGAGCACTTAACCTATAAATATAGCATACCTTAAAACTATATATATATATATATATATATTCAAAACTCTATATTTACACACTCTCAAATCCCAATACTGTGCACTCTTCCTCTATAAATACAGTAAATTTGAAATAATGTGTTATATACATGAGAAAGAGAGATTGATAGAGTCAGATAATGAGAAACATTGGTACCAACTTAAAAAAAAAAAAAAAAAAAAAAAAAAAAATCAAATATAAATTCTAATTGCAACTGCAAACATCAATTTTGTTTTAATCCTAGGTATTAAAAATTGAGTTCATGTCTAACTTCAAGCTTCACAAAAATGTATCAAATGAAGGTATGAAAAAATAAAATAAAAAGGTTCAGTTTGATATTAACAATAACAAACAAAATTTTAAACCCAATCTTCCTAATCAAGTTATTAAATTGACAGGATTTAAAGGTTTTTGGTAGCCAAAACTTCTATGCTAATCGCTTTTAAACAAGAGCAATGCATGTGCCCATCACAAAGTAAATGTTGATAATCCTCTTTTCATAGAGAGAGGGATGAAGTTGGATAATACTACACATTTAAGCTGGAAGAGGATCGAATCCATCTAAAAATCATTCAAAAGGTGAAGGCCTAAAAAGGTCTAGGTAAAAATTAGATAAATGAATGACAAGCTAAAAGTCAGCATCTCTCTAAATAATAATGAGCACTTTTATTCTTATAAAGAAATAATAAGGACTATTATAGTTATGAAACAGTGGTTCAAAAGATAATGCTTATCAAATAGGTAACGAAAAGCAAACAGAAAATGTATTTTTCTCTGATATCACTTATCAAGTAAACGGAATATAAGAACTTTTACTATTTCTATTACAAGCAATAATAGTAAAGAAAGAAAAATAATAATGATTTGCATTATGCAGACCCCGTATTTGCTTATTCATTTTATATCTTAAAAGAAAATGAAAAAAAAAAAAATAAAAAATAAAAAAAAATATCAAAGTTAAAAATGATAGATATAAGAATAGAGGGGAAAAGAAAAATTCAGGCAAATGAAATGAAAATTCACTCAGAAATTAAGTTTTTTTATATCAGAGTTTGCATAAGAAATAAAAAAATTGAGTGTATATTTTGGCAGGCAATCTGTTAATATAACTGTTATACTTTCCAGCATAAATTAATTTTTTTGTAAAAAAAAAAAAAAAAAATACTGAATAACTATTGAATTGTGAAATAGACTCCCGAGAGGATGCTTCACAAATCACTACAATCTTAACCTCTTCAAGTCAGTGGTCAACTGTTATCTATCCTACATATCCTCATATTATGCACATCTTGTTCTCACCCTGCATGTCCTTACAACAAACAATTTATTAACCCTCTATCTTGAGTGGTATTGGTAAACAATATTTTAAAAGAACATAAAAAACAAAAAAAAACAAAAAAACAACGTTGTTGCTTACTTCTTCACATCATTAAATCCTCAAAGCACCAGAGTTTCAAACCAATTTACAAACAGTATACACATACACTGCCATGGCACCAAATATACAACCACAATTGGCTGCATTGTCAAATATTTCTTATTGTCAATGGTACCAAATGCAAAATAAGGTTTAATGTTTTGCAGGCATGGCTCTATTTCATCAGTTCTGTATTTTTACCTATCATCAGATATGGTCATCTAGTGTTTTGTCATTGTGTACTTACTGGGATGCAATTATTGATGTAGTTTTCTGTATATGCCAGCAAACATTGGTTTTCTTGACTGGATACTTTCCCAAAAGGCAAAAGGATTATAAATAGAAAAAAAAATAAACGCAACAATATCATAGGCTGTTAAAAAGGTTACACAATCACTCTTGGTTGATTTTCTACTAACACCTTGAGGGAAAGGGTTAACTGTAAGGTTAGATGTTCGTGTCCGAGTGCTGGAATTTCTTTTGGCTTGAGGACAGAAGAATAAAAAGATGAGACAAAGCTCTCTCACAGCAAAAAATTCTTGTGTGCGAACTATGCAAACTCTATATAGAGTCCTAGGAAAAATTCTGCAAAATCTTGGCATGAACTAAACTAAGCAACTACTTGCTGTAACATAGATATTTGCCCAAATCTTTTGGGATGGGGGATAACATTGCTGGATATCTTAAAAAAAAAAACCCCCAAAAAACAAAACAAAAAACAAACAAACACTTCCTATTAATGAGGCTTATGACCAGACATGGTATGTTTAAAGCGCCTTCAGTCAGATTCTGGTTCAGATATTTTGGTAAGAATCAATGGAATTCTGGATAGATATTTCACTAAAACATGTCCCACATTTATTTGGGTTTTACAGAAGTTTAGTAAACACATTAAACTTGTGACTATAACTTCCTTGGGGGATGAGAAATGGGGTAAGGAAAATTCAGGTTCCAATCTGATTAACTAATCTATATTTTTTTTACCACTTAATATTTGTATCCCTTCTCTTTTTTCTCTCTCAATATTAAATGGACATTGTGTATTATTATGACTCATTCTCTTTGTATTCACTTGGTAAAAAGGAAGTTACATTTGGACAGTTTCTTCTGTAGAGTCACTTTTATTGAATAGACCTCCCAAGAAGATACTGCCCCAAACACTACAATCTTAACCTCTAGGATAACTGTTAGTAACCATCTACCTTGAGTGGCTATTCGGCCTTGTATTGGAAAAAAAAAAAAAAAAAAAAAAAACAGTTCTAAAACTGGAAGTTAGCCAAGTTCTAAGAAAATGACAGTGTGTGTACTTACTGCCATAAATCAATGTAAAATGATTGAGTGTTAATCACAGAACTATAGTCTGCAATGGAAACAGTTGAGTTGACTCTTCATATTTAGTTAAAAAACAGAAACCCACATATTTTTATTTTAACTAAGGTTCTCTAAGCTCTTAAAATGCACAAAACTTGCAAAAAGATACACAATTGCAGTATTGTAAAGACTTATTGCCACAAACAAAAACATCTGATTTAGCAAGTTATTTGTAATAACAAAACGCACTTATTGTCAATTTTAAATATATTAGTAAAAAAAAAAAAAAAAAGTTAAAATAATGAGTGTGTTAGTCTGACAGCTCAGCTAAATCTTATTAACTTAGTAACATTCAGCAAATACCTGTGTGTGTACTGTTATAATTTGACTTATCTGCTTAGCTTAGTCTTACTTTGTTTTAGTGAATAGGCATTTGTTTCTCCACCCCCGCCAATACAATCGGAGCAGGGGGGGGGATCAATTCATAAAGAAATCTTGTGTCCAAATTGTGTAATAATATGCGACTTTTAAAGTACAAAATAACAACAAAAGAAAATCCCACAACAAAATAATTAACATTAACAAGAAGATACTTTACTTTTATCATTTTATTTACCCTAAATTCAATTTAGATTTGCTCAATTTTTATTTTATTTTTTTTAATAACATTAAGTGAGCAACCTAACTGAATCAATCTCTTTACTTTTGTTATGTAGTAAGAATACAATACATTAATTTCTTCAAGGTTCATCTAATAAATGAAATGTAATAAATTTATTAAAATAAATTTCAGGTTACCTCAGCACCAAGTTTTTGAACAGGTAAAAAAAACAGATTCCACGATTCAGACAATTTTCCCTATATCAATTTTTTTTTTTTTTAATGTTGACAGTTGACACAAACACTGGTAGAGTTGTACAATAAGAGTTTATTTATTTTGTGCTTTTAAGAATTAAAAAAAAAAAAAAAAAAAAAAAATCATGAGCAACAATTTATGAAATTTTTCAGAAACCAAATGGTTTGGGCCAGAAATCAGCGATTTTATTCTCCCTTGAAAAACAAAAGAAAAACGAATGAATGAGAAAAAAAAAAACAAACTACAAATGTGGTTCTAGTGCGCGAGGTGAAAAAAAAAAATCATAGCTCCCCACCTCTAATATAATGTATTTTTTTTTAGAGGCGGGGAGGTGTCGGAGACAAAGTAATTCTTTCTCTTTTTGTAGCCAAAAGAAGAAAAAGGCATGCCGCACATGGCGTGAGTAAAAATGACAAGTCAAAACATTAACAAAGCCGCAGTAGAGATTCTGAGAAAATGCGAACGAACACGTTATTGAAAACTTTTCAAAATGGGATTGATCATCGGATTTTGCATTCAATAAATTCAGAAATGGGAGAAAAAAAAAAAAAAAAAAAATTGTGTTAAGTTCAGTATAAAAATAAGTTTTTGAAGGTAGCTTAAAGAATTAAAGTGAAAAAAAAAAAAAAAAAAATTAAATTTAGTTTATGTTGAGAATCCAAAAAACAACATTTTATATTTTTCAAATTTTAATCAGCGTTCATAATTAAATTAACAATTTTAATCTTTTCGTAAAATATTGATTAGTAAACAAAATCTAATAATTTAAAAATGCACATTTTATTTTACGCACAAGCTTTTGGTTCGAAAGTGCAAATTTAATACTGTCAATATATTCAACTAATTCAATATTCTTGAAATAAAAAGTATGACAAAATCCAAATATTTATAACTAAATAACTTCATTAAAGTTTTAAAAAACTAATTAACTTCATTATTTGAAGAGAACTAAGACAGACTTATGATCGGTAGCAAGAAACTTACACAAAAATGAAACATCATAAAAAAGATATTTGTTAAATTTTACTTACTTGAATATTCCACCAGTGAGTACCAATAAAATTAGCGTAATGTCCAAATTGGAGAGTGACTACCTCTTTTGTACTTCCCATTATTACCAAGAATATGAAAAGAAAAATGAATTTTAAACAGAGACCATTCAAGAATCCCACGCACTTAACATTTAGCAGAACACTTTAAATAAGGGAAGTAACTCCCATGATTATACGGTGTAATCTTAAAATATAACCTTTTTTTATATAGAACCCGTATTTCCTACAATGATATTCGTTTTTATTTCAGATGGAAAGATTTGTCTTCATCTCCAACAGACAGAAACTAAATAGCATTATTTTAAGTTATTATAATAATTTAAAATTCAAATTTGTGTCCTCTGTCTGTTTTCCTGGGCAAGTTGATCTTGACAGGGTTCGACTTAACCACCAAAAATGAATTTAAAATGTTAACAATTGATTTTTAATGAAGAATAGAGAATATTCTCAAAGACAAAAACAAATAACTGTGAAGTTATCTGGTTTATCATCAACTCTTGGCTTGAGATTAATATATGTTCAGACTTTGCAAAGAGACAAAAATAAATAAATAAAAATAGATTTTCAAATTTGCTCTGCAACTACAATTTCCCCAATTCTAGAAATATAAAACCAGATTTAGTGGACAGCATAGTAAGCACACCATGTTACTCTTCTCAACCATTGGAAATATAACAAAAATATTGAACTTTAGTTTGGAGCTTATCTTTGGCCTCTATAAGAATGGACGAAAAGCCACATGGAGACCAAACAGCAAGCAAACACAGGAATGCACACAAGACAACTCACAGCAAGTACACAGGCCATTCTTACTTGAAGAAAGCCTTCTCATTTGGGAAATATTCCATGACATTCAGAGATATCAACCTAAGTGAAATAAAATAGTTACTTGAACACCCAACTGCATCAACCACAAAAAATTAAAATTCCTGAGTGAGTTACTTATATCCATAAATATATATACACATATGTATATGTATATGTATCTTCACATCTTCATTTATGTGAACATTTGTTTTCCTGAACAGTATTTCTCTAGACATTTTATAAACTTTCTTTAACCCCTCTGAGAATGCCCTTTTTTTATCCCACTTAACTGCCACCATTGTTGTTATTAAATTGTATTCACATCTTTTGATGATTGCTTTATTCCTCATTTAGATTATATGAAGAATCACTGCTGGCCAAAAACATCACCATCCCTCTAAAAGGGATTAGTATTAAATGCCTTCATTCAACCATCAAGACAAAGACAGCAACAATCAGCAGTAGCCTATGCAACATATAAAAGATAAGCAGTAGTTCTTTTATTAAACAGTGAACAGGTGATTTAAGATTTTTTTTAATCATTTCATTCCAAGCAAGACAATAAAGCCATGAGGATGCAAGAGGTTACTGATTGTTAGAGAATATAAAAAAACTGCTATTAAGGAGAGAGAACAATAAAAGAACAAGAATTATTGAGACATAAGATAGCAATTGACATTGCATTTAAATTTTTGAAGATCAAAGTTGACTGGGAAGTAAGAAGCCAGAAGAGATTTCCACACGTGAGAAGTGCAACAGAACTGTACTAAAAACTCAAAATATAGTATTTCATATAATCTGTGTCTATAATAATTTGTCTCTTTCCTCTTTTATATTAATTTTTGAAGAGTAATATTCAACACTTATTACAGTTTGACTTTTAAAAGAAATTTATTTAAAGATGGAATTATTTTCTTCTAAATGCAGTTTATATTTTTAAAGGAGGCATGGTGAAGTAATGGAATTGGAAAACTGAGTTTGAATTCCATTAAATTCACTTACATGCAAATACCCTTGGGAAAGGTATAAATCCATCTTTTCTCACTCCAGCTACAGGTAAATAGTAGGATAAACTGAGTCCTATAGCCTTGGGTGGCAACTTTGAATTTAAAAACTCTATGGGTAAATAGTAGAACATAATTTCCTTGAGTGGCAACCAGTCTAAGAGAAGGGCAACACTAAATTCAAAAGCATATGTAGCCCTGGGAAAGCATATACTATACAGCCAGTGATGGCCCTAGGGTTGTTGGCACCCCAGACAAGCTAAAGTTGGGTGCCCTTACAAGTATAATTTTTTAAAATTTTCACAAGGAGAAAAACTGAAAATGTAGAATAATGAGTTTATTACAATAAAAAACTAAAATACAAGATAAAATAAACATTCATTATCCTACTTAAGACATTTTTCTAACCTTTAGATCTGTAAATCTTTTTATGACACTTTCTATACCTATCTTCTTTACAAGATCATTTTCTGTTGACAAAATAGCCAAACAATTTAATCTGTCTTGAGTCATAGATGACTGCAAATATCTTTAGTTTTGGAAAAATCCCAAACACATAACATGACAGTATGATGGTGCCCTCGACCTTGATGACACTCACCAGACACTACCAGAGTTGCCAAAGGGATTTGTGGAGTTTAAAATGACTTAATGATGCCAAATGCAGCCATTTAGGCAGTCAACTCTAGAAAAAAAAATTTAAAGCTCCTAAAGATATATGTGCACAACACAATAATTTCTTACTTTAATATTCTATACCACAAGGAAACGTTATGTCAGGTAACAATGTCTGTGCTATTATTGTTAGAAAATTCACCCACTAAGACAAACTTACCTTGAAGGATGCTCATCTATTATTTTTCAATATATTCTCATTTGAGATCTATATATTCAGTTAATGATGAGTAGCTTGAACTATTCTGGAGATAAAAGGTTTCCTCTAATAGACAGGAAGGTATCATCTCTGCAACAAAAAAGATACTCATTTCTTCCATTAAAGATTCTTTACATTGGAAAGCAATACTGCTTATCAAATACATTTGTTGCATTCTTCTTTCACAGCTGGTGATCATTAGTTGTTTTGATTCTGAGATAAAAAAACTTCAACAAAGGAAATTTTAATTTTGATAGTTTATTAACATTCATGTATACATCTTATCTATCCAGTGAGGTTTTCTCTCTCTTCACTGGGGAGCAGTTCCAGACATGAAAGAAACATATCTACATTGTTTGAGGGTTAAAAAACAACTGTGGTGGACATGAGACAGAACCTGGGACGAGCACAACTGGTCGCGACTTGCCTTGTCCCCGCCAAAAAAGAGCCCGTATTTGCTTAGCATGTAAAGCTACTGCAGTTGAAATGAGGGAGAGAAAAAAAGCACTTACCACTCTGCCGTAATCCATCCTCGGCCAGATAATGTAAAAGAATGAGGGGGGACTGGCATCGCATTTTTATGCAATAACGATGCAATGCATTATGGGACATGGACACAATGAATTATGGGATCACATGAAGACGCAAGGGATTATGGGTACATGAACAACTATAAAAACAACTACTTTTTTTTTTTTTTCCGAGTCGGGAGTTCTTCAAGGACGTTCACGGTTGACAGCTAGAACGGGCAGTTAGTGTGATTTGGAGACAGAACTCAAGAAGGAACGACTCAAGTTTGAAATACCAGCTGGGAGAGCTTGAATTTACTCGCTGGTTACTGTTTTCTTCATTCGCCTCAACAACTTACAGAAAACCCTTTCTATATCTCTATCATTCCCATGCTTATTTAGATAATCAAAACTGACTTCCTTGTTTTGCCTTCTATCTGGCCTCAAAGGATGTCAGTGCAGAGATACACTTCCTCTAAAAAAAGTAATAGTCTGCTAAACTATTAGTTAATACATATAACAAGAGAGTATCAAGTAATTGTAGAATATTAAACATCTTGTGTAAAATAGTAATGGGGAGGTGCAGATCCCAAAATCATGAGTCTGTAGTCATAATTTCAAGGATCCTAAATCAGTCTTGTATGTCTAATGTCAGAAAATGCTGGGAGCATAAATCGAAAAAGTAAAAAATCTACATCCACAACTTACAATACGCAACCACCTTCTTCATCCATGAAGATCTAAGAGTCTTGCCTGTCATCTAAAGTATTGTCCTCTTATCAGGATAAGAAAGGTTGTAATTTGTTTAAGACTGGTAGCGAAATACAAACAGTTGCCATATTTCTAGGCCTACTAAATCCAATCTTGTTTCTGGTTTTCTTTTTCAACAGACAGCTCAGAGACCACAAATTCTTTTTCAAGGTAAGACTTAGTTTTCTTCTCATGCTACTTTACTTGAATGAAAGTCAAATATCATCTTACTTTTGAGAATTTGTTCAAAGAAACTTTCTTCTCCAAATTGAGTTAGAAAGTGCAGATATCAATGAAAATTAACAAAATTGAAATTGTTGTGTTAACTTTCCTTCCTCTTCCACAATTAGTATACACTATGTTTTACCAGTCATGTGACACTTAACAGCCAATTAGTGAAGCCTGGTCTGTACAGAGAACAGGTTTAGGGTAGATGCCATGAGGAGAAGATACTTTCCTAACATGTGGATAAAACACAGCCTCTTGGAATATGACATTCTGGAATACTTTTATAACTTTTTATATTACTTTTCTTTTCAGGGTCAGAAAGAAAGGGTGTAACATATTCTTACACTTTGTTACCATGTTATTTTTATAGAAAATAAAACATTCATTTTAATTCTGATTTCTCCCTAACCATGTTTATTAATTTTTTATTATAAATATTTGGGTAAATACCTGTACCTATATCAGGTACTACAAAGGCCACTTACATACACCCTTGTGCAAATTAATTGAAACAACTGCTTTAGTTTCCTTTCTTTCACCATGTGGTAAGTTTTAAACCCACTGGAGTTACAGGGTGTAATCGATTTCTATTTTTTCCTCAGATTAGGTCATTTGCAGTGGTTTGCAGTGATATGAATCTATTTTAGAGGTGTATTATGAACATGTTTGGCTTCAAAAAATATTGCATCATCCGTGATTGCATCAGATTTTCATCACACCCAGATGCAATTGTCTCAACTGTTGATTAGTTGTGTTACATCATTTTATGTTAGGTTATTTTCTGAAGGAAATGTAGAAGCAGAATGTCAGCTGAAATAATATTTATAGATTCATTTCAGAAATATACAATGACAATAAAATGTTCAATTTTCCTTACAGTGAAGTACT